AGACTGGAAGCCCAATAATTAAAGCTTCCAATTTATATATACATATATACGTTTTATTTTCTCTTGTATACCCTTTTTCTTTCTTCCCGCGTCGTCGACGATCTCTTTTTTTCACCCTGCTTTGCGAACAATATAAGACGTTTGATTCCGTAACAGCTTAAAATGTAAAGAGAGCGTAGTACGGTATCTACCTGTGTTAGGCCATATTCTATTGTTAAAATTGTCGCTCGCTTCAACACGGGGCCGACCCTTACTACACCTTAATATTTATGTTTTAAACTGTTTCAGAATTAAACGTCTCGCAGTGTACACCGCACACGCAACAACGCTATGTATACAGCATACATGTGCTAGCGTTATATTATAAATGTAACGCGAGTATACCGAGATGCCGAGTGAAGTTTGTTTACTTTTTTTATTTTGATTTTTGTGATCGCGTGGGCTTCGCTTTGTTGTTGCGCGCACGCACACAAACAGAGCGGGCGGGCGAAATAATGTTGTGATATTGCATGCGTCGAGCTAGTACTCGGAAAAAGAGGTAACCTCTCTTTGGTGTACCGCGCGCGACTTTTACTTTATTTTGGATACGTTTTGCTGTGTGTTACACAAAATTAATTTTTAATTATTATAAACAAAAGTAGACTATATATATATCTAGAATATAATAGCATCAAGAGAGAAACAGAAAAGAGAGAGGGAGAGAGCTGACAAATTGTGCGATGTATACCATTGGAATTAGCATACTGCAAAAAAATAAAGCCTCGGGGAGAAGGAGACAATAGCGCGTCACGGAATAATTATGACTCTTTTTTTTTTTACAGAATCGCGAATACACGTGTAGGTGTGCGGTAAGACACATTGCTTCGCACGGGCACGATGTACATGGCCGCACGGGTCTGCCGTTCTATATAACCGGCTGCGCGCACTCATCGCTGAATTATTATATCGCGAAAAGTTTCGCAGTAAGTAAAAGTCGTGAAATATAGTTAGGAAAACTCAAACAAACAGGCAATAAAGGAAAAACTTTAACTGTACCCCCGTGTTACGATGCGAGTTGGGCTTTGTGTCGAAACTTGACGCGGCGCAAAAAAAAGAATCGAGGAACATGGAATTTAAACGATTAGAATTTCAAGGTGTGCCTGCATACGTATCCTGCCCTTGAAATTCAAAGTTTTACGCTCAAAAAAGCGATCTATTTGCTTTGGAAATTAAATAAATACAAGAAAAACACGATTGCGACGTAGCGAGTCAACGAACGCAGCGGCAGATGTAATAAGGTGGCTTTCGTCTGAGTTAGCTTCTACGAAAAGTTTGTAAATATTTATTTGCGACAACATTTTTGTACTTTATAAAAAGTCTCTCGACGATGTTCGAGTGCAGTTGCCGCAATATTACGCTTACGAAATTTAAATAGTTAAACTTTATTTTTTTACGGAGCACAAACGCCATAGGAAGTTTGACCAAATTTTTTTTTTTAATATACACTCGCAACTTTTTCTATAAAACTAAAGCAGTATTAAGACGTACTTTTCATAACACCTCGTAAGCACATAAGATTATGTAGCACCGTATTATTTCATTTATCCACTTTTTCGTTTCGTCGGTTCGATTAGGTTGCCTGCGCGTACACGAATAAGTTTTTCCCTTGATTTCTGTGAGAAAAAGTATTCAACAAGATCTGCGTGACGGTTATTATGAACTTTCGTAAAATACATTATCACTTATTTCTCTCTCTCTCTCTCTCTCTCTCTCTCTCTCTCTCGTATGCAACACAACAACAACTACGAGGACTATATGCGACGAACAAATGCAAACACGCGTTCATATTTATAATATCTTTTTCTCTTTCTCTCTCTTTCGCGTGTAAACATGCGCTATTTATCAGATGGCGCATAAATTAAGCTCCTACATAACGTAGCCCCGCACACATACCCATTGTTGTGTATATACGTGTGTATATGTCTATCTTGCTGAGATTTGTATAAATTGTTCTGCGTTACGGCAGGCGTAAGTTTTTTTCTCTTTCGCGCGCGTTCTCTCTCTCTCACTCGCTCTCTACTACCTGACGTATATAATGCACGTGTGCTCGAGGGCCAGCCGCAAACAAACAGGACTCCCAATACGCTCTCGATTTCTCATAGTATTCATAAAGAGATAGTGTATATCATTTGCGCGAGCAGCTAAGCAGTATCGCTATAAAAAATTCATGACCAGCAATAGTTACGAAAAAATCGTTTAGCGCAATTGTTCAAGTGCTCTCCCAGGATAGATAAAATGGAAAAAAAACGATGAAACAGTGAAAGTATAGAGTTGAAAAACTAAAGCCTAACAAGTTTCATACAAAACGGAGCTAGGCAAGCGACGCGAACTACGTTACATCAAGCTTGTAAAAAAAGAACTTTATTTCCTCTGCGCGCACGCGTATACACAAAAGCTCGCACGACGTGGTGGCACAATCTCGACGCGCAGGCACACAATCACGGCGGCGTTTTTGAAAAAAAAATTTTTTTTCAAATCCGTTTCTCTCTCTACACCGCGCAGTCGAAAAGTTCAAGAAGTTCTTGTGCGTTGAGTGCACGCGAGCGCGCTTTTATCTGTGTAAAACATCGATCGTTTTTCTGACGAAAAATGCGTCGGATAAGCACAAATGTGAGAGATAAAGCTAAAAAGGAAAAAATATATTATTTACCATATTAAAATTTAATATAGGCGAGAGCAGTAGCGAGTACATTGAAATCGTGCATTTTACGCTTTGCTCGAATTAATCTCTTCGTCATATTCGCAATAATGTATACGAGGATTTAATCAACCAAAGTATCGATTATTATTATTGTTATCGCATGTGTGCACAGACACAGAGGGAAAGAGAGACACAAACGCATGCATACACAAAAAGTGCATTAAAAGGCATTATTGAATATATACCCGAGCATTAATGAAAGAGTACGTGGAATCGAATGAATAAATCATAATTATAAAAAAAGTCCGTTGGCCGAAGTAAAGAAAAATAATACATAAGCCGTATACACAGTGGATCGCTGTAGAACAACGTGGAGAGCGTAATTCAGTCATCGTGATAGTTGTTGTTGTTGAGCTCGTTGGTGCGTTTCCCCGAAGTAAGTAAATAAGCGCGTGCAAAAAAAAAAAAAAAAAAAGAAACGAAAAGACGTTGAATGTTTGTTAGCCGCGCGCATCACGTATAATCTATGCGATATACCATACACACTTGCAACAGCAGCAGCTATTATAAGGCGAGCGACGGTTATGAGGTAAGACAGTCGTCGTAGCGTAGTTGCGCGCGATATTCCTTAATAAGCAAAACGCGTTTTCTGCACTGCGTCTATGTGTGCGTACGCCCTCTCTTTCTCCCTCCTCGACGCTATATATATATATAGAAATATATGTTAATGAGTGAGCGAGGATCACGGAGATGTATACAGGTGCGATATAACGTACACGCATACACACACACACTCAAGGCCAAGTTTCCGGTCGTAGGCTAGTAGTCTTTAAGATTTTAAAACTGTGCGTGCTTGTGCAGTGTATGTATACCTATCGCTCGCGCAAAGGAGGAGCAAGAAGCCCTCCTTTAAAGCGTGTTCCGGTGTGCTGCCCCGTGTGGGATTCTCCCACGAACGCGAGGTAATTTTTTTTTTTTACCACCGCCTACCATCTTCGCCACACAGCTGTATAATAATATAATATGCGCGATATATCGCACTTGCTCGATCTATATAGCATATAGCGCAAGTATATAATGCGCTAATGACGAAGAGAGAGAAGAGGAAAGCAGTATCAGGGAGGAGTGTATAGCAGCCCTCGACTGCGTAGCCGCGATTTTTAAGTGCTCATCGCGAGCGCGCGCGCGCGCAATAATTGACCCCGTGAACCTCCGGGTTAATCAGCGTAGCAGTATATATTGTATGTAATAGAGAGAGACTATAGGAGAGCTAAACAGAGCACTAAAATACTCTTACTCCAAATGGAAATTCCATCGAAATTTCTATTCCTGCGTATGCGTGTGTGCGTAGTGTACATAGGTCGATGAATTTGCAGTATAGAGACGTGCGATCACGCGCGGGGGTGGGTGGGTGAGTGCACACATAGCCCCGTGCGCGCGCGCGTCCCCCGATGATTGACGCAAATGTTACATATTGGTCGGCGCCAGTCATATATACACGCGTGAGCAACCGTGCAAAATCGTCGTAGCTGTCGTCGAGCTGCGCGCGAGCGTCGCGTCAGCGGGCGATTAACAAATTTTCAGCGTCATTTGTCACCACTGACTCTGTGCTGTGCGCCTCTGCCTCTCTCTCTCTCGCTCTTTCTGCTGCATATAACAGCAGCGGAAGCAACGGGGATTTTTGGATGCACACACATCGATGAGCTCTCTCTCTCAGGCACGCGATCCTCTTTTATCTTCGTGACCTACTCACCGATGTCCGCGCGCGTGATAATTCCACGAATATTACTCAAATATTCGTGGCCGCCCAAAACATTTATTCGACCTAATTACTCATCCGAGGTACCCGAAGATACATCAGAGGAGCGAAGCATCGAAAAGCATCGCGGAATATAAATATATCGACTGCTACTATTATTACTGCTACAGCTCCTGCGCGTGCTTTTACGTATATTTTCAACCTGTGTACGCCGTGTTGATTTATGCAGGACAAACACAGAGAGAGAGGGAGAGAGAGAACTAAACGTAGTAGGTGTATGCACACGCCGAGAGACAGAGACAGCTTTTCGGGATGAATTATTCGTCAGAGAGAATTGTATTTACGCTCTTTGTCCGCGTCGAGTCGTATCATACGTAGCACGCGCACATACACATGCACACAGAGACATACATCAGTGAAGCTGCACGTTCTCGTTGTTCTATTCCGTGAACTTTGGGAAATTCGTGGAGGAGTGCGAGCGGGGGGACGAGGGAGGATGATGCAAAATAACAGACAGAGAGACGCGAAAAGTCGAAAGTTAAGGCTCTGGATGACACTTACACAGAAGGATTATGCATTGTAAAACAGTGCACGAGGACGACAGCTTGATCCTCGCAGACATTTCTTCACACTATGATCACTCATCACTTGCAGAAAGAAACTTTTGTTGATCTAGCTGCTGCTGCTGCTGTTGTTGTTGTGCCGGTGTTGTTGCCTCCTTGATGAATGTGACCGGTCAAATGGCATACAAGCAACTTTTGCGCACACAATTTATTATCTCTTCTTCTCAGCACTGTTGTCACACTCGGAGAATCATATCGTCAGCTGCTACTAGGAGCGCGGCACATTATCATCTTTGAACATATTAACGTCACCCTTTATATATTCGCAAATTATATATAATCGAGAAACACACACGCGCACAGAAAACGAACTTGAAACGAAATTTTTTTCACAGAAACGATGTAGAGACTTTTGTTGTTATTATTGTTACACGAGCCACTTTTTGCACGGCACTTGGCAGAGATGTATATCCTTTGTATACATCTACCTGCTATCTCCTCTCCGACACTGCAGCTGTGTACCTAACTGCTTCCGCAAGTGCTCCAATATCTACTACATACATATACAGGACACGAAAGTCACACCGCACACGTCGCTTTCGACTGCAACAGAGAGAGAGAGAGAGAGAGAGAGAGAGAGAGAGGGAGATTCGGTCGAACGTTTTCGCGAAAACGAAATTCAATTCAATCACTACTATCGGTGGATTTGACCACACTCTTATAACTTTTTGATTTCTGTGTCTGACACAGAGAGAGAGAGAGAAACGATAGGGTGTCGTGTGACCAAGAGCAATATCAGTGACAGTGCAGCACGGCACAGCGAGTGGCTGTATGGAGAGCGCAGTGAGTGCGTATCTATACGTGGGTTTGATATACGCAAAAATGGGATGTCGGCAGTACGGAGGCACGCACGGGACTAGTGCGAAAGGCAGCGCAGAGAGCAGCAGCGGCGGTGGAGCGGCGGCGGCGGCGGCGGCGATGTCAGCAACGGCAACGGCGGCCGCGCGCACCAGAAAAGGGAGGGAGGGAGGAGAGTCACAGCAGAGCAGCAGCACCGAGCACTGCGAGGCAGGCGCGCGTGTTTGGCGGGGGCTGGGCTCACGCGCCGCCGCCGCCGCCGTCGACTCCGAGTTTATAACTTAGCTACTGCCGTCGGCTGGCGCTGCCTGTCCCTTTGGCCGCGTTCGCTCCGAAAACTCGAACGCAGCAGCATGAGCGGCGGTGGCGAGAGCGAGGCGAGCTGCAGCAGCAGCGGAGTCTGTGGTGCGCTAGGAGGAGCACCAGCAGCAGCAGCAGCCTCGATTCTGCGGATATACGATGTATACCACGTATACACGCGCGTACCTATATAGGTACATACCTATATATTTATTCGCACATATATAGACGTTATACAGCTGCAGGCTGCAGTGCACGGCTTGGTCGACGACTCGCATGTATATATAACACCGTATTATATCTATAGAGCATGCTATACGTAGTAGGGGGGATGTGTACGCGCGCGCCTCTGATCCTCCTTAAAAATTATAATTCTCTTCTCGTGCTTCTTATTTTAGCTCTCCGCGCGTACGGCTGCTGCTGTTGTGCCGCCGCTGCAGCTTTGAGCGAGGCAAAGACCTTCGCGGGAGCATTTCTCTTTTCTTACCTTGCTTATATGCCTCTCTCGTTGTACTTATATCTATCTGGAGTAGCTGGCAGCTCGTTTTATCCATAGAATGAGCGGGGCGCACTGATACGCGAGTTTAATAAGACATTCTATTAGGCAAGCTGCTGCTGCTGCTGCTGCTTTAACACTGATTCGCGTGTGCGGTATAGCGATATTTAAGCTGCGATTCTCATCGCAATCGACCCTCTATCGAGTTTCGATACTACTTCGGGGCACTGCACGCGCTCTTATACACATTGTTCTGCAATACATACCCGTGTTCTGACAACAATCGATCGCTATATGTATTCCCTCGCAATTTTCAGATATTTTCCAACTATTTAGTACTTAACTTTAACGTCATTAGACTCTTATATACTCGCGGTAAACTGCTGCACTATGTGCAAAGCGTCAAGTTCAAGTTCAAAATTGTGAGCATTTAAAGAGCTCTTGTATAACTTGCTTAAGAAAATCATTTTTAATTAAACTCATCGCCATGGTGTCAACGGATTTTGTTCCAAGAGGCACGTTTCAAAATATATACGTACAGAAGTCAAGAACCCCACGTAGACTCAATAATCTCGCGTGCCGAGATGCAGGCCTAAAGTGTCTCTGAGGAGGTCGTTTGCCTTTGCGTCTATGCCTATACACACTCGAATTGTTCATCATTACTTCATTAACGAAACTTCGTTATTTACGATGGGAAAGCATCGGATTTAATTATAGGGGCTCGGTATTATTTTCTTTCCTCAAATTTAACGCTTTTTTTCGTCCCTCGATGCGTTAAGAAATAAAAACAGCCGGGGAGGTATATAAACATGCGATGGATATACCGAATAGACTGAAGTCTGCGAGCGAGTCGCTTTGAAAGGCGCGTGCGAAATCATTATAAAAGAGTCTCTCTCTTTTATATCATATATATTTGCGCGGCGGCAGCGCTGAAGAGAAAAATTGACGGCTGTGCACCTCCACCTCACCTGAGGAGGAGAGGACTGATGCGTACACTTTTCGCCCAGGCGTATAATGACACTTTCTAAGAAAACGAGCTAGAGTAAGCCTCTAGGCAGTTCTCGCGCGCGCACACGCTGACACTTCACGCGGTGGTATTATTACAATAGTGTGTGTGTGTGTGTGTGCGGCGTGCGCGCTTATGTGCGTATGGATGCAGTCTGGATTATATATATGTACTGCTTCTTTTTCCCAAGCTCGAGTGTTCTTCTGCGGTGATAATTAATTTTCATATGCTACTTGTGCTTTGTTTTCTGAAAAACCTTTATTCTCTTACTAAGAAAGACTAAGGGTGTTGATTGAAGACGCGCAAGCGTCTTGGCTCGTACAACCGTATGCACTGAGTCTAACTGTTTTTTGTTTTTTGCTTTGCTTTTTTTTCATAATATTTTATCCTTTGGAAATTTTATTTTTAAAAAATTCGAATTCTCTACCTCGTTACGCGTAAAAAAATAAATCGCGTACACCAAATAATGTCGAGCTCGCATGGGTGACACAACATCCGCTCAAATATATGGTTAAATTCGATTTATTCGTCAAACATTTTTTTCTCAGTACTTATTATAAGAAATATGCATGTGTACCTGTATACGCTTACTTTTTATAATACGAAAAAAAAATGCAAAAATAAAACAAAACAATGAATTTCAGGCAGAGATATGTTTTACATGATATAAAGCGAATATCGGATGTAGTCTGCGCAATTTTATACATACCGCTGTGCGTACTTTAGTTGTTAGTAATTAAAAACACGTCAGATTTACTGAATGTCAAAAACAAAATTGATTTTGAAAAATTGCGTGCTCACGAGAGTTATTAAGTTAGTAATAAATGAAATTGCGAAAAATTTCCATATTTATTCGTTGAAAAAAAGAAAATCAAACAAGATTTTTAATGGATTTTTAATGTTGAAATAAACAGCAAAATTTCAAAGCTTCATCTATTACTTTTCAGTAATTTTGTCACAAATTGAAACGATATTTAAAAAATATATCAGCTGTATGATAGGCAGCATTATATGCTCGAGATGCGAAACATTTTCTGTTATGCTGCGCAAGATACACACGTGATCCAGAAAATGTGTGCGCGCTCTCGATGCCTTGGCTAATAAATCATCAAAATGTAAAATAGCAAAAATGATGACCCGAATTTTTTAATGCTGACTACCTCGAGCTCGAAACAGCCGCATAAGGCGCGGTGAGTTACACTCATCAAGCTCGCTCGCTCGGCCAAAAGTGGGTAGTTTTATATTTATACGTTATGTCCACGCGTGCGACTTTATACCCCTCGGTTGAGCTCGTGCGCTCCGAGAGCCGCGTGATCCACGCGTTGTTTATGCGTCGCTTATGTAATACTCATGACGGGGATCCGCGGGGGACGCATGCTTGAGCCATTAAAGAGCAGATTCGAGCCAGCGCAGGCTGGCTATGTAATGTAACATAATGTATCTCTACCTTAACGTACGACACCCAACGCGATGTCATCAGTTTTTCACTGCGCTCTCACACGCCGAATTTCCGTTTGAACATATAAATGCTACACGTGTACTAGCTACGAGATATGCGTATATTGGGTTGCACGCGAGAGCTTTCGCCGATCCACCTGTTTTCAGGCTAAAAGATGATGTATTTTTCGCGTTCCGTATTGTTTTTGCCAAATGTGCAGAGCTCCAAATTCATTACATTTATACGATCCACGCGCTACTGCGAAGGTTCGAAAATGACGAGTTTTGCAGTTTTCTGCCGAGCACTACCGAACAAAGTGTCATTTCGCGAGTTGCGAATGTTCGCTTCCACTTAGCCCGCTCGCTATATATGAGAACGTGTAACAAGCCCTCGCTCGGCTTGCAGCGTACTCATTACACGTATTATACATTTTACTGTGACTTTGTGTCAAGGGCACACACAGCACAGAAAGCGGAGTTTCTTTAGCTCTCTCGAAATTGACACGGTATCGTCACTTCCTGCGTCGACTGCGCTGCTGCCTTCCTGCGCATCACGAGCGCATCACGGTACACTACTACCACTACTGCTACTACACATTAACTGCGAAGAAAAGCAGCGCAGCAGCAGCACTTGGTCGCGTGCGCTGACCCTTAACCTTGTGTCGCGAATTGTACACGTAGTTTTTTTTCATGCACACACAAAGGGACTCGCTCTCGAGCCAACGTCTTGGGCGACGTTTTTTTTTTCGTCCACTTGCAAAGGCGGTGGTTTGAAACGCAATTTCGAACGAAACCGTACGTATCGCGGCTCGTTGCGTGATATGGTCAACTCGCAGGTACTCGTTGCCATTATATTATTGTTGTCCAGAGAGCAGAGGAGAGCCATTCGCGCTGTGTAGAGCAGTAAGTACGCCGCGCGATATTGAAATCAAGGCAATTTGAAATATATTATACACATTGTGTGTCAGTTGAATGCGGAACGGGTCATTCTGGCGTTGCCGCGGTTTATTATGATCGCGACGTACTTATACAAAGAAGAGGAAGCGAAACTTTGTCATACATACTACTATAATAATGACACAGCACGTGCGTATGCGACACTATGGACTAGATCAGTATCAAAAATGTTTACGCTTTTCTCCTTTTTTCTACTTCTAATCACTGCGATTCACTTATCACTTTTGAATTGGAAACTAGACGAACCAACACCTCTCCCGCCAGCATTCTATCAACTATCGCTTCTAAATTTCATGTACCCTCTCTCTCTCTCTCTTGATGATCAAGCACACGAGCATTGGCCGAAAAAGCACCCCGTATACACTCTCAACTGTTGCATATACACACACATCTATTTCTAAGGCCTCTGTTCTATGAGTGAAGCCAAAGCTGCAAACTTGACTTTCTTAATGGTAATTTCGGGCTCTCGCTCTATATACGTATACACGGATACATAAGAGCTCAAGCAGGCAAAGAGTATACATTATGCCTTTGTCTTCATTGTCATTCTAATCTAAAGAAAGAGTTAAATAATAGCTCCTCGTTTCTTCGGGCATATACAGAGAGAATGAGAGAGAGAGAGAGAGAGAGAGAGCGAGCGAGCAGGCCAACCCTCCTCTCCCCATCTATATACATATAGTACACACAATAACTCAGGCGAACGCAAGGAAATTGCGCTTTTGGATTAATCGTCGCGTAATTAACGCGGATACGTCCTGGAAAACGTCTTGCTCTCTGCTGCTTGCTTCTCTGTACTTCCCCAGACGAGAATGTTTAATTTGGCTGCCTCTCTCTCTCTCTAACG